CGGCGCCAAGGCCGAGGCGGAGGCCGGGGTGCGAGCTCGGCTGACGTGCCGGATCCGCGCGGCTCGGCTGCATCGGCTCCTGCGGCTGCCTGAGCGTCTCGACTGGTCTGTGCACGGCCTCGGCGAGGATGCGGCTTTTCCGGTGGCTGCTGAAGCAGCCGGTGCCTAAGCAGATCGAACGCTACTCGCGTTTCTCGCCATCGCCACTCTCCATCAAGCAGTTCCTAGACTTCGGTGAGTGCGGGGCCGCAGGCCCCCACGGTCGCTACGGTCCCCACAGACCCGGGATGCGGGGCCGCTACCTTCCGGGCCCGCCGCCGCCGCGGGTCTCTGCAGCTCGGGGCAAAGTCCGTGGGAACCGCGGGCGGGGCTCCGGGATGCCCGGGGGCTCTCCTGGGGAGTCGACTTTCGGGGCGCGGAGGGGGCAGGGCCTGGCACCCGCACACCAGCCAGGGCTTTACCTGGAAACACAGAAACCGCGTCCGAGGACCCTCCTCCAGGCGGGACTCCCCAAACCTGCTTCGGTAGCTTCAAATCTACTTGACACAGACCTCACCCGTCCTTAAAACTTAGTAGCGGAATGTGGGTGGATTTTAATGTTTTTACTTGTAGATTCTTTTGTTGTTGTTGTTGTTGTTGTTGGGTAAGAGCTGTTTAGAAACACCTTGAGGTCGAATAAATTATGCAATAGCATTTTGTTCCTTTTTTGCCCTAAGGTGCTCTCATGTGCCTGGAGTGGCAGGACTCGAACTGTTGTCCTTTTCATGTAATGTTAAAGCAGTTACAGGCCTAGACTGCGAACGCCTTAAATGCTGGAGAGGAGAGGACGCGTGGGCCCCTAGCGTCAGAGCAGGGTCTGATACACCCCCCGGTCTCGGTGCCGACACCTTTCGTCGCGCCGCTCCTTTTGTGTCCCACCACCTTCTCCGGGGTCGAGTGGGCTGGTGGGCAGCTGACGCGGATTGAGGTGGGAGCGCCGAAGACCCGGCCGGCCCTCACCTTGCCCCAGAGGCCTAGCTGAGATGGGAATAGATTCCACCACCTTATGCTCACCGGATCGTGTTTCCCCAGAGTGGTGCCTTTTCAACCACGGAGCGAATACTTGCAATTGCTGAAGGCGAGGGAGCTGGTTGTGAACCACCTGAGAGTAAAACAAAAATGCGCACCCAGGTATCCGAATGGAGTTCAGCATCCCTGAAGGGGAATAAAATGGAGCAGCAAAGATGTTCTGAGCTCTCAAGGGAACATAATGGGGCATCTCTTCATGTAATGAATTTTATGTACATGTAAAGGGACGGTATCAGGTGGGAATAAAAACTAAAAGTGCAGAGGAGGTAGAACATCCAGGGAAGTATTAGATATGCAAAATGTGATGTTGCCTATACTGAAAAAGTTGGGATAGGAAGAGAGGACCAAGTTAAAGTCGAGGCCATATTAGATTTTAAGCACCCACTTTGCCAGAGAATGATGAGGAGAGTCAAAGTTCAATGAGATGTTGATCTTGGCATCTTAAACTTCACTCCTGAAAGCCTTTCAGTAGTTAACAAATCTCTGGCCCCTTTTGAAATTTTAGAGGTTTGATGCAGCTCCTGACTTAAGGGTTTAGAAACAAAAGGTCACCATCGCTATAAATAGCATGTTTTCCATCTCTAATTTATGGTTTAGAGAAGATTCTGAAGGTATCAGCTTCACTGGGGTAAACTGAGTTAAGTTAATTCACAGTAAAAGGAGCAAAAGGAATCCAGAAATTCCCAATTTCTTCCACCCTCAAACTTGACATGATAGCTCTGATAGCTTGGCGAAATTTCAGTTGATTTAGTTCTACAGCAAGCTAATATCTACCCATGTTAATAGGTGTCTTGGCAAGAATGTTACTTGAGTAGGAAAACCACAGTGGGGGATAGTGTTATCGTGGAAAACCCGTGGGACCAGTATCTGGAAATAAGTGTTCTAATTTTTGCTCTGCCACTAACTCAAGAGTGTGGCCTTGGCTGAGTGAACCTCACTGGGGTTCATTTTCCTCATTAATAAAACGTGTGGATTGTATCAGGCAATCTCTCAAACACGACTCCTGAACTGTGTGATTGTAGTTTCAAAGGGAAAAGGATGAGCTTCTGAAAAGAAAATTACCAAATCTCCTGGTAGGTATTTCCCATAAAAGGCTTCTGACCTATTTTGGGAGAGGTAGAGGGATACACTAATCTAGGATAATGGAGGAAGCCTAATAATTGAAGTCTTTTCCTTATAAGGACGCTCGCAGAAGAGCTATATATAATTGTAGTGGAATTTGCTAGAAACTACAAGCCTAGTTTGTAATATCCAGAGACAGGTGGCGGGCAGCCTATGTTTAATGACAACAACTAGAAGAAGAGTGTTGTCACACAAAGGCCATCTCGACTTCTACCTTTCTTTTAGTTCTTTTTTTTTTTTTTCTTTTAGTTCTTCTAGCTCTTGATAGTTCTTTTGTGGCAAGTAATGTAGGAGTTTGAGAATTTAGAATGGATGTGGGGATATTTTTAAGGTAAGGAGGAAGAAGAAGAATAAAGAGGCTTTATGCCCCTTCATGATTGTTGAAAACTGCAGATGAAGGCCACCTCATATGCTTAAAGGACCTGCTGGGGAGCAGCAGATGACTGCATGAAGCCAGCCAGGTGTGGGCCGTGGCAGGCTCCAGAAAGTATATGCTGGCTCCAGAAGGGGCAGGTGATTGGCTCCAATTCAGTATATTTTAAAAGACCTGAGGCTCAAACAAAGTAGATATGTGGACTATATTGACCTCCAGGCTGCCACTTTGTGACCTTTAGGATTTTCTCCCTCACTGTTTTACAAACAGGACATAAATTTTTGACAGAGTAACCGGACAGGGACCAAAGAAAGGATGTACATGGAATTCAGTGTTTCAGTATTCATTATGAGCACATCAACAAATAAATTGTAGTTTCTATGGCCACTGAAATAGCTTTATTATACTAATCTATCCACACTAGTAAAATGAGATTATCTTCCTTGTTTAAGAACAAAGATGAAAACTGGTTGTTACTTCAGAAGCAGTGATTTGAAAGAAGTTTTCTCATTCTCAACACTCTTGACATTTTGGGACAGGTCATGGTTGGGGGTGTGCCCTGGGCGTTGTTGGAGGTTTACTAAATAAAGCAGCTTCTCTGGCCCCTACCCACTAGATGCCTGCACGTACTAGACAGCACCAGTTGTGACAACCCAATGTCTCCAGACAGCCCCATGTCCTCTGGCGGAGCAAAATCACCCTTTGTGGAGGACGACTGCTGTAAAGCATTTAGATCCGTGCTTTTCATGCCTGGGTCACATCCCCCAAACTTATGTAAATAGTCTGGGGGTGGGGTGCAGGGCACTGGTATTTTTGGAAGATTCCCAGGTTGTTCTTAAGCATAACCAGCATTGAAAACCACTAATGAGATAATCTTCTGATCTAGAGTACTGTTGCCCTTTCATATGTGTGCCATATTTTTCTATGCCCTTTAAAATAGTAAGAGTTTCTTGAACTCCATCTTTACTTAATATGGCCTTCCACCCAGTTAGCAAGTGTAGCAGGAATAGCAAGTGTTCTAAATGGATTATGAGTTCATAATGGCAATAGTGCATTCTAAAGGGTGGGTTTTTTTTTTTAAATGAGCTTTTCTTTTTGGTCTGAGATGGGAGTTACATGGTTTCAAATTCAAAAAGTGCCAAAGGACATAGAAATGTCATCTTCCTACTTTTGTCCACTAGCCTCCCCATTTTTTGTATAAATGGCAGCTTCTTATAGTTCTGTCTGTACCTTGCTTTTTAAAATTTATACCTTAGGGAGATTTCTGTATCTTTATCTACAGTACTTCCTTTTCCTTTTTTAGGGCTTCTGAGAGTTTGTTTGTATGAGTGTTCTATAATTCATTAGCTAGCTCCCTCTTTATGGCTGGTGGGTTGTTTCTGGTCTTTGCTATGGCAACCAGTGCTAGCATGAATTGTCCTCTACATGCCTCATCCCATGCGTGTATGAGTGTATATATAGGGCATACTCCTGAACATGGGATAACTGCCTCAGAGGGTGTGTGCATTTGAACCTTTCATAAACATTGTCAGATTGCTTTCCCTAGAGGCTGTCTATTTATCCTCTCACTAGAAGTTTCTGAGAGTGCGTGTTTTCCTATGCCTTTACCAAACTGTCATCAAACTTTTGATAAGTAAAAAGTGTTATCTAGTTAGAATTTTTTCTCCTTGAGTAAATGATTTTTTATTTTGGTTTTTTATTATGGAAACTTTTGACCTTTACAGAACTAGCAAGAATCATATTTTGAATTCCTGGGTTCATTATATTGATATCCGTGTGCTGTTTGTAGATCTTGTGTGTATGTGCAGTCTGTCAGATTTTCTTATCAATGCCATGCTTGTTTCAGAAAACTTTTTTTTCTGTATTAAGACCAATTTATCTTTCAAATAATCTGTTCTTTAAAGATTTGGTAGTGGGATGCCTGGGTGGCTCAGTTGGTTGAGGGTCGGATTCTTGATTTTGGCTCAGGTCATGGTCTCAGGGTCGTGAGATCGAGCCCCATGTCAGGCTCTGGCGCTGGGCATGGAACTGCTTAAGATTCTCTCTCTCCTTCTTCCTCTGCCCTTCCCTCCTAAAAATTTTAAATAAATAAATAATAAAAATCTTTACAAAAATGAAGATTTGGTAGACTCCCCCTGTGAAACCTTTTAAACCTAGTGTGTTTGGGGACTATTACTCTTTGACAACTTTCTGTATTCTGTGGTATTGATCTGTATAGATTTTCTGTTTCTTCTAGAGCACATTTTGTCATATTTCTTTAGAAAATTGTCCTAGTCATTGAGGCTTTAAGTCAACTTGCATAGCTGAGGTCTCTTATCAGTCTTAATTTTCTCTGTGGCTATTCCTCTATTTTATATTTGTTCTCTTCTCCCCTTTCTTGATTAGATTATATGGTAGTTTATGATTGGATTCCTTTGTTAGTTTTATGACTTTTGTTTTCTAGTTCATTAATGTCCACTTTGACTTTGTTAATTCCCTCTGATCGCCTCAATCTCGTGTTTCTTATTTTTCTTCTGAGTTGGACACTTGGTTTCTTTTCTGTTTTGCTCTTTGAGTACTTAAAGTCTACAGTTACTCCTCTGTTACTGCTTTAGCAGCTAAGGTGTAAGTATTTGACTGATCCCTCTCCTCCCAGCTCTTCTGTATCTTCAGATTCTTGTTCTGTGAACTA